CCCATTACCTGTAAAGCAGTTTGAGTGGAGTGTCCAGAAAAGCGCTATATAAGTGTAAGCAATTATTATTATTAATTACTTCCTGTATACACCATGCCCCTTTCTGTATATGCCACACCCCTTCCTGTCTATGCCTCCATCTACCCATGCATGTCCCTTCCTGCCCACACCACGCCCCTTCCTGCCCACACCACGCCCCATGTGGCCACGCATGTCCCTTCCTGCCCACACCACGCCCCCATCTAACCACGCATGTCCATTCCTGCCCCCACCACGCCCCTTCCTGTATATGCCACGCCCCCCATCTAACCACGCCTGTCCGTTCCTGCCCCCACCATGCCCCTTCCTGTATATGCCACGCCCCCATCTAACCACACATGTCCGTTCCTGCCCCCACCACGCCCCTTCCTGTATATACCACACCCCCATCTAACCACGCATGTCCGTTCCTGCCCCCACCATGCCCCTTCCTGTATATGCCACGCCCCCATGTAACCACACATGTCCGTTCCTGCCCCCACCACGCCTCTTCCTGTATATACCACACCCCCATCTAACCACGCATGTCCGTTCCTGCCCCCACCATGCCCCTTCCTGTATATGCCACGCCCCCATGTAACCATGCAGGTCCCTTCTTGTCCACACCGCGCCCCTTCCTGTCTACAGCATGCCCCTACCTAACCATGTATGCCCCTTTCTGTTTACACCACACCCCTACCTAACCATGCATGTCCCTTCCTGGCTACGCCCCGCCCCTTCCTGGCTACGCCCCGCCCCTTCCTGGCTACGCCCCGCCCCTTGTCTCTTACCCAGCACTTGGCCAACAATCATGCGCCCGTCCTCCCCAGCCACCGCGGAGCGGGCGTTCCTCTCATTGGCGTACTGGACAAAGGCAAAGCCTTTGTGCACGGAGCAGCCCACGATCTTGCCGTACTTGCCGAAGATGGCCTCCACATCTGCCTTGGTGACCAGCAGCGTGTTGAGGTTGCCGATGAAGACCCGCGAGTTGAGGGAGCGTGGGTCTGTCTTGTTCGTCACGTTGCTCGACATCAGGCTTCTGGTGGTGGGTGACAGGCTGTGTGGAGAAAGAGAGAC